TCGACGCGACCGGCTCGACCGGCTCGAGACCGCTCGACCGCTCCCTCGCCTCGTTGCCGAGGAACTGCCCCGCCGTCGCTCCGCCCCAGGAGCTCCTGCCGCGGGGCGACGGCAAAGCGAATCGCTGGTTCTCGTGGCAAAAAAGGGCTCAGCCGAAACCCGTGAAAGGCACTCCCATTCTTGGTTGCTGTTGGCCCCCCTGCAACAAGCTTAACTTTTTGGGGGTTTAGTGGAAGACACCTTCATTTCACAAAAAGATAAAGTCGAAAGATCCAACCCAATAGCAGTCAAGCATTGAGGCTCGGCAGCTGTCCTGCTGCAGCGCGGCCCTTCGGTCACATCTGTGGACGTGGAGTTGCGGCTGACGCCGCTCGCCTCAGACAGCACATAGGCTGCAACAGCTGGGTGCAAGCTGGAACTTGATAGAACCGTTTTAGGGTCCCCTCGGAAAAAAATAGCCCACATCCGCTTCTCGCCCTTCGGGTTTTGATATTGAGGCACATGCCGAAGCGACGATGCGGCCACCCAGCCTCCGTCTTGGATTCCTAAGCTCAACTCAATGGTTCCGAGAAACTTTCTCCCATGAGCGGGTTTTCAAGGTGAGTCATAATCAAAACCTGGTAGTAAAATGGTCTACCCAGAACCATGTAAAGAATTGAAAAGGCCGCCGCACCTGGCCGAGATCTTCCCTCACCCTCCATTTGCCCGGGTTTTGATTCTCTGTCGAGCAGCTGGACTCTTTGTTCGCATGGCTCCGCATGCCAGTGGCCCCAAAAAGTCGCAAAAAAGGTCCAGCGGCTACGTGACTTGACTTGACTCTGCCGTGTCCTTTGCGTGGTTTGCTTGCTGCTTGAGTCTCAAAGCTGCAGGGATATGTCGTGGAAATATTGGACCCCCGGCGTTCCTGAAAACGAAACCTCAAAAAGCCACGCGCCCTTCATGAATTCGCCGAAAACCACGTACGCCCTCGGCACGGGTCTCGACGTCTCGCCGAGGGCAGGGTTGGGCAACGCTTCAAGCGGCGCTTGGCGCCGGCCTTGGCCATGTCGCCTTTTGCGATGAGGGAGACCAGAAGAGCGTTTAACCTGCCAGCTGATTCCAATCGATCTCATCTGATTGACTGATCTGATCCGGTGCCGATGCACTCAGCCCCCAACGTCTCAACCTGTGGCCTGTCACCTCAGTCAGTCCAATCTGTGGTCTTTCGTTTCAAGTTGCGTACGTCTGGGTTCCCTGCCCTGCTTGATGTCAAGGTGACTCATCCATCTCTCAGCCTGAAAAAGAGTCAGCGATCAGATCTGCGGATCTGCCGCAAAAAAAAGGCGCGCGGGCCTCGTCCGTCTGGCCCTGGTGGGCATTGAAGCATACCATGCCATTGCAGAGGCTCGAATGGAAGTCCCTGGCGACCAATTTACAGATCTCAAGACTTCAGCGCCAGACTGGGAGCTTCTCAACAACAAAAGAAATGCTCCCCCTTTGCCTAACCCAAAGGAAGGCAACGAGGGGACCTCGGATTTTGAGAAACAGCCCCACCTCTTCAAGTGCTGCTGCAAGGAGTGGGCGCCGCCTTTCCAGGCTTCGCCCCGGGCCTCAAGCATTGGCGAAGCCCGTGGCGGAGCCGACTGCTGGACTGGGGCGGCCACCGTTTTGGCTCCGGCCTGAGGCTGGAAGCTTTGGGAATGAATCCTTTGGAGACGCCAAAAGGGATCGCTCCGGGGCCCCAACTCGGTCCCTACTTGGAAGTTCGGCCAAGTTCGTAAGTGGTTGGCCGAACTTGGGGGAACCTGTAAGGGGGTTGTAACCCAGGTCACCAACAGCTTACTAAATTAGGCAAACACCCAAGTAGCCAGCCAAGGCTTGCAGTTGGATCATCCAGCCGAGGATGCCACCAAGATGTCAGAGAGGCGTTGATGTCCCTTTGTGATGGTGACCTGAAAGCATCTTCTCTGACAAGACTCTCACCCAAGCAGACCCAGACTTAATCCCCCCCCTTCCAACAAAAAAACATGAAAGCCTGTTTCATCTTTGGTTCCCGTTTGAGCCACCCAACAAACGGTACACTCAAAGAAAGACACTCATTTGGCTGCGATACTTCATAGGTAGCCATCTCCAAAGCGGTTGGTGGACATGAACCCCCGCCTACATACAGTCCACCAAAGGCACCTGTGTCTTTTCTTGAGGTACCCCAGGGGTTGAACCGGTTTCACCCACGAGAACCCACGAATCCCGCGTCCATGTCTCAGCCACGCGGCACAGGAGACCTCCATCGCCAGCGACGGCCGGGCCATGTCATCCGGCACGGGTTGAGTTCAGCTAGCCTTTGATGAAAACTGGACTCGAAGAGCCATGCGACTTGAACCATGGAGCATCTCTCGTCTCTTGGGCCATCGGCGCTGAGGCTTCGTCTCATGCAACGGCTGGCGTCTCTTGGATGCCTTTCGGGGGCTTGGCTTTTGGATAAGCAAAGGCCATCCGAAGGATGCTGGTGGTGTTAGGGCGCACCCCCTCTTTGATTTGCATCCGTCTCAAACGGAAACCAAAAGCAAGCCACCCAGTTGATTGGTTCCCCATGGCCATCCCACACCCAGTCCCAGTGCCACCGAAGACGGCCGCGAAGTCCGCGTTGGCGCACTCCACCTGCTCCGCCGCTGGCCTTGACGCGGCGCGTTTCTCGGCTCGCGGCCCAGCGGCTCGTTTTTCACCCGAGGACTCTTGGTTCTGTTCAGACGATTTCAGACTTGATTTCACTTCGTGCCGAAGGGGCAATTCAGATGCTTACAAGGATTGAGTACCTCTCCAGAAGAACCAGTAGAACCACCCAAACTTTTGGGTGCTCACATGAAAGTGATCCTGAGAACATTGGGTGGTGACTCCTTTGGGGTTGAATTTGAGTGACTCCCCAAACCAACCATCAAGGCAGCTGCTCATGTGTCGGCCGGCTCAAAGGTGAACAAATTTGGGAGTGCGTGCTGCTAAGCTTGGGCTTTCTTGAGGGAAGCTAATTGAAGGGAAACTCACCATCTTTGGGGTGCCAAATCCCGAGATTGCACACATGCCCACTATAGAAACCCGTCCCATCCCACCTCCCAAAGAGTTCCACCTTGTCCTGCAGCAGCCAAAACCTGAGCACCCGGGTTTCCCGGCCCAAGGAATCCATGGGGCCAGTACCCCCAGTGAACATCCCAATCCAACCACTAAAACAGGTTCTCAAATGGGTGGTGCACCTACCCCAAAATGGGATCCCATTAGTTTTTACCTACAGCCATGGGTCGCGGGAAACCCCGAAAATGGTAGCTGTAATTTTGGTTTTCTTTTGAAGTGAGATGAAAGGATACCCTCAAATACAAAATGGCAAGGACTGAGTGGGATAATAAAGATAATTCAACTTTTTGCGTCAAACTTTGTATAGATACAAATTGCATGAGCTCCGTAGATGCTAAAGTCGAAAACAGCGGAGGGAAAACAGTCAATCTCCACCCCTGCTACGAAATACTTACATGTGAAGAGGCAAAGACGGTAGCCCCACAAGAGGAGACTCGCTGAAAGCCGCCCCTTCAGTTTCCCACTGCCAAAGCATGTCCCAAGTGTCGCCAAATAGATCCGGCCGACTGAGGCCCACGCGCTCGCAGGTCCGAAACCCGGGCATTGGAAGAGAGGCAGGTGCCGAATCCTCGGAGATTCGATCCATCACTTGCAGAGCTCCACTTCATACATTTTGGCATGAAAATCAATTGAAACATCTATGCCCTACTTTGGGCCGAAACTTTTAGGGTCACCGGACTTCCCCCTGAAAACTTCAGGGTCACTGGGTCACTGCACAAAAACCTTAGGGTCACTTCCCCAAAATCAAAAGTTGATGTTCATTTGCAAAGGCGTCCATCGAAACCCGCGGGCGGCTCCAACCCCCGTTTTCCCCGGCCTTGGCTCTGGAGCATCTGCTCGAAGAGCCGCACGAAACGCGGATCTTGCAGCAGCGCCTGAAGAACGGCCGTCGAAACCCCGTTGTGGTGGGTCCGGTCCGCTTAAGACGTTGGTTCACTTGTGCCACATGAGACTGATGGCTTCAGTTACAAACTGTGCACACAGGACGGGTTCGGGCCCGTTGTCCCTTGACTTTTGGCCAGTTCTCCATTAGACGCTTCACTTGCGCCAGAGTCGCTGACACGAGACGTACCAACGGATTTGCTCGCACAAGCCCTCCCTCACCCTTCGGACACTGCCTTGAAGTGCTCGAGGCCAGGCTGCGCAGATGCGGCGTGCCGAAGCGTCAAAAAGAGTAGCAACAATAGACTGACAATGCAAGCGCCAAAATGCGGAAATGGCAGCAACAGCAGCAGCAGCGGCGGCGGCGGCGGTGGCAGCGGTGGCAGCGGTGGCAGCGGTGGCAGCGGTGGCAGCGGTGGCAGCGGTGGCAGCAGCAGCAGATTCAGCAGCAGAACCAGCAGAACCAGAGCCAGCAGAACAAGCAGAACCAGCAGCAGAACCGGCAACAGAATGGAAGCCTGACCCCTTGTGTCTGATCTCGCTCGTTTTGCTCAGCACAGACCTTCTGATTGTTTCGGCAGTCGGAAGCCCGAACTGCATGGTACGCTCTGTGCTGAGCCGAACACCGGCCCTCCACAGGCTCTCCTTTTCCGGAGGCATCCTCCGTGTTTGTTCTCTAGCATCTTTCAGCTCGCTTTCTCCTGAAGAGCATACCCTGAAAAGAACAAAACACGCACACGCGCACGCGCACACGCGCGCACGCGAAAACCAAAACCCAAAGCACGAGCCCGGAGGTCGGAACCATCCACTTGAAGTGGCCTCCTGCATTTGCAGCTGCTGCTCCGCCTGGGCAAAGCTTTCACGCGCCCATGCAGCAGCCTCGTGGGTGGCCTTGGCAGTGGTGAGATTCGTGATGGCCTCAGAGTACTCGACATGAAGCCAAGGGAAGCCAGGTCTGAAAAAAGGCGAGAGCGGCTATAGCCCTGTGGTTCGCATTCGCACGGCTCGGCCCTTTTCTGCTTCGACCCTGGCACGAGGTTGTACTGGGGCCTTGAGAGCTTAGCCTTAAAAGCGCCAAGCGGGACCGGCAAAGCATCCCATTGGGGGGGCCTCTGCCGCTCCGCGGCGTCTTGATAGTCTTTGATCAAGCTCAGCCGCTTGTTCTATCCAGACTCGAGACATTTGCGGGATCAGATTCCGAATCAGAGCATCTGGTGGATATACTCTGCCATCTGATCCAAAGCGTTCCGGTGCGACTTGCTTGCCAAAAGAGGAAGAAGCATGGAGATGTGAAAGCTCGCCTCGCCCTGCCTTCGCGCCAAGCCACACTCCCATTTGAGCATGTGTAGCATGTGTCAAATGGGAGGATCACAAAAAAGGTGGTTTGCATTTTGGTGTTCCCTTCAACTGCCAGCATCGATCTTCCCACTGCCAAGCGGCACGCTGCACACCTGAACAGCGCCCGTGGCCGCTCGGGCAGCAAAATTCTGGACATCATCGACGAGAGGATCCTGCTCACCTAGCCAACTTATCCCAGAATCCGCAATGGTACTATCTTGGGTTCAACAAAAAAAGCGGCGGAAACCCAACTTCTTTGTTGGGTTCCCGCAGCACATCCGCGGAGCGGACTTGCGTCCGGTCGACTCGACGCCTCCGGTGTTCTTCTTTCCAAGGCGCAGGCCACCAGAAAAAGAGGCCTCGCCGGAGTGCCCGTCTCCGTCCGAATGCTGGATATCCAGAGGGAATGCTGCCTCCGGCCCACTGAATTGGTCGCAACCAGTGAAATCCTTTGGTTGGTTTTTGGGTGCCGTGCTTTTGCACCAACACGAAACCCCAGATTTTGCTTGTTCGGGGGTCCCCTATTTTGAACATTGACTTTGAACACGCAAAAACATGGTGACACTAATTTCAGGACACTCAAGAAAAAGGCATGGCCTCGTTGGAGCATCTCCTGCTTCGCCCGTCGTTTGTCTGTACCAACATGGCCGTTTAAAGAGGAAAAAGGGCCTTAGGTGGAATCGAATAGCAAAACGGACAACAGTGGTTTTGGGAGCCAAAGTGTTGCCAACAGTTTTTGTTCAGCTCTGCCTGGCCGTGGCCTCTGCAGTTGGATCACTGGAGCTTACACCCAGAAACTGCTCCCGGGCGTAGCGGGTGAATCGCCGGGTCAGGAAGCAGGACTGGCTGTTCCTGGTATGCGACTGGTTGGAGAGGGTGAAGTCCAGCCTGGACTCACCAGCTCCGAGAAACGGGGATGCACATCATTTGAGTCACTTGCTCAAAACCCGGTATTAAACTGGACCCAGAACCATGTAAAGAGTTTAGAAGGCGGATATCCGCAGCTATTTCTGGTTGGGATCTTCCATTAACATTCCTCTACCCGGGTTTTGAGCAAGTGACTCGTTTGGTGCAAGCTGGGAACACTTTTGCTTGTTTAAGTACCCGTTTAGGGTCCCCTGATCCGAATGCCGCAAGTCGCATGTGAACCAACCGCATCCGAACTTCCTAGCAACTTGCGGATCAAATTTGCAGAGGGCCGACTTGTTCCCCTAGGACAAAAACGCACGGAAAGACCCACGCACTGCAGCCCAAAGCTTGCAGGTCCACAGTGTGACACCACACATAAAGCAAGGCAAGCTGTGCATCAAGAGGGCGATAAAGGTACTGTTCGGAATCCGGAATGTTCAAAGGGAACCAACACGACACTGACCCTGTTCCTAGTTTTCACGCAACACTGGCAGGCTCTGTTGTCAAGTCTGACGCCCACTTGTCTGCACAGTTGCACTGGGCATATCCCGACTGCACCGCATATCCGGTGCGACTGCTCCAGGAAAGTCTGCACCGCCAAATAGCCGCCAGCAGAATCTCCTTGACAAGATTCAGGACGTGAGCCAGAATCAAGGTTCATTGTCCCCAACTGACATGGGATTTTGATGAGTAAGCCTTATCCCCTGTGTGGTAATTCGGTGAGTAGACACCATCACTCCAATTGGGGTAGATGGTGAATACGTTCCTGCTTTCAGACTTCCAGGCTTAACGTGCCAACAGACTGCCCCATTTATTGCTTGCCCAGGATCCAGCTACCAACACGTCTGTGAAGCCTTGAGCTCGCAGCCATTGGATTGTTGCCTGAGCCGGAAATGCCCCGAAAAACCCGCAAGTGCTTTCTTCCATCCCTTCGCCTCGATTTCCTGCTTGGTGTGCTCAGGATGCGCAGGCAGCTGATAGTTCAGCACCAAGATGGCAGGCAGCGCTTGTCGCTTGGCCCTGCGGTCGACCGCGCTTCGCGGTCACTTCGCGCGCGGTCGCAACCGCAAGCCGACCGGCGACATCGGCGAATCTGCGGCGGAGCGGCGCCAGGCGCGCCAGGACGCGGGCCGCGAAGACGGACGCGGTGTGATCCCGCGCCACAAAGCCCCCGCCTTGACGACAGCGCCGCGCTGCAAAGAATGTTTGTACGACTCATGTGGCACGCCGATTTTTGAGGGTTCCCTTTTTTCTTGGTTTCAAAGGGAAGCCAAGAAAAAGGGAAACCACCATGTTGGGGGGTCCCCCGAAAAAAAGACACGCCCACGTAAACTCTGAACTTGCAAGCCAGATCGTGTCCGCTTTGCAACAAAAAAAGGGGCCTGGCAGGTACAGAATCACCCGACTGCTGTCTGAGTGTGGCTCGTCCAGCATGAGCCACTCGGCCTTGATCTCAGGAGGAGTGCCCTTCGCTGGCTGCCGCAGCAGATTCCGCGACAGGCATCCTGCGAACATGGGACTTTCAGCGGGCTTTGGCACCTAAGTCGTTGACACGCAAATGCCACCTAAGTCGTTCTTGACACAAGCCTCCCCCCGAAAAATGTCGACTGCCAAATGCCCAGTTCTGCCAAACATAGCTCCCGCAGCAGATGAACAATTCCCCGCAATGACGCGCCACTCAAACCCCAATTGGCCTTGCCGACAAAACTGGAAGCATGGCACCAGTGCATGCATGTGGTCCTTGCAGGCAGTCCAAGCTTGGGAAGATCCCGTAGTGCATGCAGCCAACAAAGCATCGCGGGCTGACATTGGCGCAACACCTCGTGCAAACTCGAAACGCCGCCCTTTTCAGCGCCGAACGTGTCGAAGCCTCGGCGGGGAGCCGGCGAAAAAAGATGCAGCAGGACGTCAAGTAACAGCCCCAACAATTCTGGGGGTACCCGTCACCCAGCCTCAAAGCCCCGAGAGCGCAATTCACAATCGGCCGCGGCGGAAACCGCACTTCCATATGGCTCTCCGCTCGGTATTTGCACGTGAAGCTCCAGATCTCTTGAGACATCCGTACGGAATGCGATAAATGAAATTCCAATTACGAAGAAAAGCTGAGTGGAGTCAAGCTGCACAAGCTCGAGCCAAGCAACTGCGCCACGCAGTTTTGACATGCCCCCTTTGCGAAACACGAACAGCCTTTCGTTTCAGCGCTGACAAGACACTGTTGCTTTTGCAGAGGCCGGGACGACTCCAGCTGGTTCGACTGCCGGCAGCCAGCCCTGGCCGGGACACGAACTACATCAAGTCGGTACGATCCACCGCTCCCGGCAGGCGCCTCCATTTGAAGAGTCCAGTAGTATTCCACGGTCGAGAGCTCTACGTAGCTTACCGCCAGACCTTCTCCTGGCAAACCGGGTCCGGTTTAGCAAGACATAACTCTAGATGGTAGTTTAGAGAGAAACAACTTGATTCTGGGAACTCCTCACAAGCTCCTCAAGGGACACAGTCACACCCAGCCCTTATGACTTGGCACAAACCGCACAGATCTTCGCGTCCTGTCAGATGCAGGGATGCTGCCTCTGCAGCAGAGCTCTCTTGAAACTCGACCAGGCAGCTGGCCTCTGACTTTGAGCGACCAGGGAAACGAAAACACCGGGCCATGGGTCAAAAGCCAAATCGCACCCCAGTGAACATCCCAATCCCCACTAAAATAGACTAAAATGGGTGGTGCACCTCCCCCAAAAAGGGTACCATTGGCTTTGACCCACAGACTGTGGAGTTGAGACATTGAATCCCCCAGACATCCCACACGCGCCCGCGAGTCGAACAATCGGCACTCGGACTTTCCACCTTCCGCGAGCCTCTGTTGAGAGCGCCCAGCCTCAACAAAGACGTAGCGCAAGACTGCCTTGGCTGACGGTGCTGGCAAGCGAGCAGCACTGGAAGGCCAACGTATTGGTTGGAACGACCAGACGGTCACATGTGGAAACCATGAGGATTTCGGGTTGTTTGATTCACATGGTTGTGTCTGGTTTCCTTTGGCTTCCCTTGCCAACCACCCAACAGGATGCCTTAAAAAAAAAAGGACCCGCCACCCACCTGGGGGGGGGGGGGAGCTCTGTCCACTTCAACTTCTGAGGGTGACCTGGTGGAAGTTTCGGCAAAGGCTTGGGCGCCAAAAGCTGCACAGCGCTGCAGCAGCTGCTGGCAGTCCTGACGAGCGAGGGACCTCATTGACCCCGTCTCCCCAAAAATGTTTGTGTTGGATAGGCCCAGATGGCCATGGGTCAAAATCCCGTACCCCCAGTGAACATCCCAATCACCATTGGTTTTGACCCCACAGCCAGATTGGCTCTGGAGTGGTTCGGGGTTGCTGAGAACCAGCCGGGCATGGGTTTGTGGTTTATTCTTCGGACACGGCCAAATGTGGCTCAACAAGAACCCACAAAGCCACTGTTTCATTCTTTGGGCTCTGCGGGTTCTACTGCGGGTTGGGTCCTGAAACTAGGAGTTGTCAAATTTCCCGGGCGCTTGTCCATTTGGTGTTCCCTTCAACCAACCTGAAACGTGTATCCTTCTCCTCAAAAAAATCACCCATCCTCAATGGAGGCGGCGTCCAGTCCGCCGATGCACAAGGCCTTCACCCCCTGGCTCGATTGAGATGCAAATGGAAATCGGTCCATAGGAATCAGTTTCCTTTGGGTTTCCCCTCCAAACAAAAAAGGCGTCCACATTTTTGAGCAACGTATGGGTATGTGGCAACATAGGGAGTCCTTTGCGCTTTCCTCTCAACCTGAAACGGGTACCCTCAAGAAAACACAAGCATGGTATGATGGTTGTAAAGCTTCCAAAGTCTTTGTACCGGCCTTATACTGCAATCGTAAGAGGTTGATTTAACGGCCAGTGCCAATGTGCAAAAGGATCCACGCCCCTTTGACCTCCCGAAGCAAGCGTCCTTTCGGGTCCGCCCCCTTTTGAGGTCAAACGAGCCCCCTAGAAATATAGAAATGGTGGCTGTCTGTTTGGTTTCCCTCCACACCCCCAAAAAACACACACCCATTTTGAATAATCAAGAAACCTTCTCCAAAGTGTCAGAGTCGCCGCGACTGACACCTGCGAAGGGGGTTCGCGCACCTGGCGCTCACGTAAACCAACACTCTCTCTCCCTCTCTCCCTCTCTCCCTCTCTCCCTCTCTCCCTCTCTCCCTCTCTCCCTCTCTCCCTCTCCCCCTCTCTCCCTCTCTCCCTCTCTCCCTCTCTCCCTCTCTCCCTCTCTCCCTCTCTCCCTCTCTCCCTCTCTCCCTCTCTCTCTCTCCTCCCTCCTTCGTTTAGCCAACTCTATTTCGCCTTTCTTGTCAATGTTTGTTTCTGCCCACCTCTTGGTTCTTCGTAGCCGGCCTCACCTGCAGCACAGGCGAATAGGAGTGTAATTTTTTCTCGGGGTCCCCCCCCCCCGCCCCCCCAGTGGCTTCCTCTGTCCAAAGCAGGTTTCTACTTCTCACAGACTCAAACGGCACGCCGTTCAAAGCAGTTTTTTTGCAGAGATTTCGCTGCGAAATCCTCCGTTGGATGACTTGTGCGCCCGCCCTGGAAACTGGGTTATTCAGCTAGATTTGTTTCCAGACATTTCGCTCTGGTCTTTCAAGGGTTGTTCCCCAGGGACGAGGTTAGGTTGTTCACCCCAGACTGCTGAAATTGTGCCTCAGCACCCTGCTGGTTCTCAGGGAATCTTTGAAGGCTATAGTTTTGGAAACCTGGGGCACATCGAACATATTGGTTCTCGCGTGCCCCATCTTGCGCGATGCGCCACCATGCCCTAATCTGGGCGAGGCAGTCAGAGGAACGAGCGCTTCCCTTTTCATTTTCATTTCGCAAAGGACGCGCCCCCAGGGGCAGCCCCGAGGACTGACAAATGCCGGGCCCAGGAAGCAGATACAAGGAAGTTTGCAAACGCGTTCATGCGTTTGCTTTTTTTACGCAAACACAGCGTCTTGAAACAAAGCCAACATTGTGGGGGCTGGAAACTGGAACCATCTGGGATTTCTCTTAAGGACCCATTCTGGCCACATGGCCGGCACCCTTAAGCGCCAACCAAGCCAAGAACCTGCGTCAGGCCAGGCTTCTTCTTGGTCTAGAATCAAATTGAACCCTTGCCTCCAATAAGAAGGTTTCTGCGCGCTTTGTCAAGGTGCCGGTAGAAGGTTGCCATACGGGGGAGAGTTGGGTTCATGGGCTCGCGGAAAGCGCCAATCATTCCAAGCAGAATCAAGTCAAGCGCTCGGCTTTGTCCCCGCACCGAAAAAGCCCCTCCGCGAAGCCGGCCGCGCGGCCCACGCGAACGCAGGCGCTCAACGCGCTTACGCGCAGCCGAGCGCGCGGGCTCAACGCTCGACAGGAGGGCCACTTGAAGCACTCTGACTGAGTGATACAGTTCAGAGGCTTTACGACTCGTGGCAACGTTGTGGAAAAGGTAGATTCTTGTAGACGTCCAAATGTTGTCGGCCAAAAGGTTCCGTGCTTTTCCACCCAATC